TGTTGTATACATGATAAATAAATAAAATCTTAAAAAAAAAAAAAAGAAAGAAAGAAAGAAAGAAAGTGGCTTATTGGCTGGGTATTGTCCTGACAGCTGGGGATGGGCCAATGGCTCCTTCTATCCATTCCTTCACCAGCAGTCCTGCTGAGCATTTGCTAGGAGCCAGGCTGGGAGCATCCTTCAAGGACCGTACCACACAGGGCAGCCTCCCCACCATCACCTCCCAGAAGTCTTTAATGGTCTAGACCTGGTCCAGGAAGTAGGTAGAGGGGGGGAGAGCAGGGATCTTCATGCACTGTAGGGTAAGAGAAAAGTGAATTTGCTGGTGTGGGCGCTAAAATCTGCTCACTTGGGGAAGCTTCACTGTGCCTTCTTCCCTGTGTTTGGTCCCTTTTCTTTCTCCCTGTTTTTGGCCACAGTCCTTTTTAAGTTAGTGCCTCGTTGCTGGGCTTAAGGAAACAGAATAGGACAGGGTGTTAGGTCTGTTTAGGTGAGGGAAACTCCCCAGCCTGATGGCTGCTTGTCTTCAGGGAGAGGGTGGGGATGAGACTGGCCTGGGGAGGACAGGCGCTCTCAGCTGTCCCCCAATCTCCCCCAATCTCCCCCATCTTCCCATCACTTCCCCACACACTTCCTCTCCTCTAGACAACAGGATCCAGTTTGCCGGTAGGATCTTGGGTGACCACAACTGCATCTGTAGACTCAGGCTTTGCATCAGCTGGGTCTGCATCTTCTCAGCGCCCTTTGGAACATGTGCTGATGGGAAGGACTTGGGCTCTGGCCGGGAACAGTGAGGCCTGCCTAATTGGGTGAAAGGAGGCTCTTGAGTTGAGAATGGAGGAAGAGGTAAGAGGACCTGCCAGGAATAGGAGCAGCAGCGTTTTGGGTTTTCCCATCCCACTGAAATTCCCTTCAACTCTGGCAACCCAGCTGCTGTCACAGCACCAGCCGCGGGGGGGCGCTGCTCCCCGACTGTCTAGCTCCCGGATGCCAGTTTGCCATAGCCCCCCCTTCAGACTAGTCTGTAGTGAAGTTCCTGAGAGGGGCTGGGAGTGGATAAGGCTTTGTGAGCCGACCATCCTGACAGGCTGAGTCTTGGCCTGTGGCTCACATACGCAGTCAGGCTCTGGGAGTCCCCATGAGAAAGGCAGGTACTGTCTTTCTGCCCTGGTGTCTCCGAAGCCTTCTACACCCCACAGCCTCAGCTTCACTTGGTCTTTTGAACACATCTGCCACACTTTCGCAAGTCAAGCCCAGCTCCCTGCCTGTCCCCCTCATCCTTGCTAGGCTTCAGTTCTGGCCCCTCTCTGGCTGGCAGATCCTTCTCTTCCCCAGTTATTCAGCTGCCTAGGGATGCATGTGTTCTCTCAAGCCTCTCCTACCCACTCCCCCTTTAGCTCTGTCCCCTTGCCTCTCCACCATCATGCATTTTATCAGCAGAGACAGGTACCTGGAGGAAGGGACTTCCAGATAAGCAAGTGGCTTGGAGAATAATAGAAGGTACAATGGCAGCTCTGCAGATAAGGGTTTCCTGGGCTCCCTTGGGAAGGTGTGCCCATGGAGAATGCCTCTTTGTTTTTGGCTTTGTTTTGTTTTGTTCTGTTTTGTTTTGTTTGTATAGTCCTTACTGTCCTGAAACTCACTCTGTAGACCAGGCTGATGTTGGTCTCAAACTCACAGGGATCTGCCTGCCTCTACCTCCTGAGTGCTGGGGAAAAGGTGTGTGACACTGGGGACTGATTTCTTGGAAACTCTATCCATGACAAAGCAAAGTTTAAATCTCAACTCTGGCAGCTACTGAGTTGTGTGACCAGCCTCAGTTTCCCTATTTGTAACATGCAAACACTACTACTTCAGTCCTCTGCACAGAGCTTCAAATCAATACAGTTGGTTCCTCTCTGCTTCCTGGGTTTTACCCCATAGCTAATACCTTTTTGTACATACATACCCTCCATATACCAGGCATGCTTAAATCCACAGTGTCAGGGAATCCTTATGTTACCACTGGGAAAGCTGAAAGGTAGGGAGGCAGTGACCAGAGTTTGTAGAAGCTAACAGTGGGACTGGCCCCAGAGCCCCAGGTCTGGAAGCACCAGGGCAGCAAGTGGCTGGAGGAGAGACAGCCAGTGCTTTAAGGGTCTGGAGTGGGACGGGAGGCTGGGCTGTGCTCCTGCCCCATCATCACCCAGATCACAAGCAGATGATTTCAAGGAGTCCTCTCAGACCCTTATGTAGGGTATCTGCTGGTGCATCCGGCTCCCTCTCCTGTCCCAGACATCTCAGGCGCTAGGTACATGGTCTCTTTGTGTCCTAAGCACACCGCTCTCTCTTGTCCCAGGCATCTCAAGCGCTGGGTACATGGTCTCTTTGTGTCCTGAGCACACCACTCTCTCCTGTACCAGGCATCTCAGGCGCTGGGTACATGGTCTCTTTGTGTCCTGAGCATCCCGCTCCCTCTCCTGTACCAGGCATCTCAGGCGCTGGGTACATGGTCTCTTTGTGTCCTGAGCATCCGGCTCCCTCTCCTGTACCAGGTATCTCAGGCGCTGGGTACATGGTCTCTTTGTGTCCTGAGCATCCCACTCCTACTCCTGCAGGCATCTCAGGCAGCAGCAGATTAAAGCTATTTCACAGGGTGATCATTTCCACCCCTTCCCTACTCTCCATTCCTCTCTATTTCCCCACTCATCCCCACCCCCACCCTGTCACTTGGGGCCTGTAATCAATGAGACGGAAAATGAGAAAGTGTCAGGAGCTAGCAAAGCATGGAGAGCAGCTGGGGTAGTCCCTGCATCATGCCTGAGTGGGTGGACCCCAGCCTTTCACCCCCAGCTCTGGTTCCAAACCATCCATTGCTGCCATCCGCTAAGTGCCCAGCCGGATGTCAATAAGGAGGCCTACTGTCAACGTGTCCAAAAGCCTCATCTCTAAAATGTCATGAAACCCATGAGTGTTGCTGCAGGAAAATGTGTCCAGGATGCATGTCAAAACAGCTGACACCATGGCTTCTATAAAGGGATCCTATTTATGTCGTTATAGATATTGGTATGCACACAAGAAGCAGGGCTGAGTAGCAGTTACTCCTGGGAGTAAGTACAGAAAATACTCACTTTCCCTTTGTTGAACCCCAATAAGGATATGTTGCTTTTATAATTAAAAAATAACTTTAGGATAAAGTATTTCCATTATGGGGAGAATTGACTCACAGAAACATGAATGGGCTAATGAAAATGACTAGGGACTGGGCTTTGGGATGAAACTCTATCAACCCAGGGAGAAAGGGTCCGCTAACTTCTGCTGCTCCAAAGCACGGGTCTAACACCAAAGCATAGAGTTTGTTTTTTGGTTTTTTTGCTTTTTGTTTTTCGAGACAGGTTTTTTTCTGTGTAGCTTTGGAGCCTATCCTAGCACTCCCTCTGGGAGACCAGGCTGGCCTCAAACTCACAGAGATCCACCTGCCTCTGCCTCCCGAGTGCTGGGATTAAAGGCAAGCGCCACCAGCGCCCGGCAAGAATTTGCTTTTTTAAGAGCTAGCAGGACATAGTGGCTCAAGACTATAATGCTAGCACTTGGGAGGCAGAGGCAGGAGGACTAAGAGTTTAAGGTTAGCTATATAAGTGAGAGCCTACTCTCCCACTCCCCCAAGTGGCAGAGAGAGAGAGAGAGAGAGAGAGAGAGAGAGAGAGAGAGACAGAGAGAGACAGAGAGAGACAGAGAGAGACAGAGAGAGACAGAGAGAGACAGAGAGAGACAGAGGGAGAGAGACAAAGAGCACACACTGGTGCTGTAGCTCACTTAAGAGTTCTTGTCTCACACACATGAAGCCCTGGCTTTGACTCCTAGCATGCACCTTATAAAACTTGTGGTAGCCCATGCTTGCAATCTTAGCACTCAGGAAGTGGAGATGGGAGATTCAAAATGTTTAAGGTTATCCTTGGCTACACAGTGAGTTCAAGGCCAGCCTGGACTGCATGAGACTGTTTAAAAAATGAGACAGGTAGTGCATGCCTTTAATCCCAACACTCAAGAGGCAGAGGCAGGAGGATCTTTGAGTTCAAGGCTAGCCTGGTCTACAGGGTGAGTTCTGGGACAGCCAGGAAATCCTGTCTAAAAAACCAAGAGACAGACAGAGGTTTTTTTTGTTTTGTTTTGTTTGTTTGTTTTTTTGATTTTTCGAGACAGGATTTCTCTGTGACTTTGGAGGCTGTCCTGGAACTAGCTCTTGTAGACCAGGCTGGTCTTGAACTCACAGAGATCTGCCTGCCTCTGCCTCCCAAGTGCTGGGATTAAAAGTGTGCGCCACCACTGCCCGGCGACAGAGTTTTTAAGAGTCTTTGAAATATATGATTTTGGGGGCTGGAGAGATGGCTCAGAGGTTAAGAGCACTGACTGCTCTTCCAGAGGTCCTGAGGTCATTCCCAGCAACCAAATGGTGGCTCACAACCATCCGTTATGAGATCTGGTGCCCTCTTCTGGTGTGCAGATGATATACATGGAAGCAGAATGTTGTATACATGATAAATAAATAAAATCTTTAAAAGAAAAAAGAAATATATTATTTTTAAGACAGGAGAGTAAGTGTGAAGAAAACCCTGGTATTCATACAGCCTACACCTGGACACAGAGCTTGCTGCTTTTTCCAGCCCTGCTGACACAGCACAAGGACAAAGCCCACCACGGCCCTGCAGTCTAGCCCCTTTCCCCAAATGGTTCCAGTTTCCCACTAACAGGAGCATGGCCTGGCCTGCTGGAGCTTTCAAGTAAGAACGGCTCTCCAGGGTCACCTCCTACAGCCCTGCTCTGCTCACCACGGGGTTTTTCTGTGTCAAGAGCCCAGACTGAAAAAGCTAGGAGAGGCTGGTGGCTTTTGGCCCCCATCTGAATCTATCCATGGATAGGGACAGAAGATGACTCTGAAGGGCCAGGAGGGCCGTGGGTGGTCATTCCATGTTCCACTTCTGAAGAGTCACAGAGTACAGAAATGCAGTTAGATATAAGTTTATTGGTGGAGCTGCAATGGAGTCCTCCCTCTCCCTAGGGGAAAGCTGAGGCTACAGCACCAACAGAGGGATGGACAGACAGATCCCTAAATGGACACACAGGTACAGCAGACTCACAGGGACCAGCACAGCCACACAGGCACAAAGACACACAGGCCACAGCATCAAAGAACACACATACACAACAGACAAAACCACAGGACTAGGGCACACAAACAAAGTGCAGGCTTTGGGGCCCCTGCATAGACAGAGCAAGGAATCACATGGGGAGTGGGCCCCTGATGACCTCCCCAGGCACAGGCACACGAACAGCACACAGACAGGCAGATGTCCCCGCTAGCCAGCCAGCCTGCCACAAGGACACATGAATTGCACAGAAAGGACAAGCATGACTCTCCAGGCCATGTGGAGCAGGAATGGTGGGGCTTCCACACACCCCACACCCCTAAATCGCTTACAGCAATTCAGTGTGACCCCCCCAACACACACTTCCCCTCATACACGCTTTGGTCTTGACCATGGGGGCAGGGGCTGGGGTGTTTGGCAGGTGGAAGATGGAGAGAGGATGGTCCCTTCTGTGATGGGGAGGCAGGTGCTGAGAGTCCAGGGCTGAGCCTAGGCCTGGCAGTGGGGTGAGAGTGGAGCTGAGGCTCAGGCTTGGGGGGGCTCCCGGCAGCGTGGACACCGGGCCATCTCAGACTTGTATCGTTCCACCTGCAGGGTGCAGCTGGAGAATCCAAACCGGGAATAGAGCCGGGATGAGGCTTCAGCCAGGACAGCTTCAGGGTCAGCTGTGGAGTCTGTGGGAGGGTGATAAGAGGCAGCTCAGTCCCCAGGGAGTTGGGCACAGCTGAGGGCTGAGATAAGGAGTGAAGGGGCCCAGGCACAGCATAACCCTGAAGGACTGAACGGGCCTCTTCATTTCCTTCTGCATCACTGCATTATATGAAGAGTGTAAAATTGCAAAGAAAACGTGAGAGACTCACACCAATTGGCAGTGCGAGGTTACCTATTCCTGCCTCTGAGCTGGATAGCTCAGTGGCCACACCATCGTCTTTCCAGGACAAGCCAGATGTTAAGCATTCTACGCCACTGTCCCTCTCCAGTTACCATCCAACATCCCACAAGTTATGATATTTTTGGCATCCAAATTGCATGCCTCTGATTGCTTCTTGCATCTGGGAGAGACTCAAAAATCCTTTGTCAGCTCATGAGTCACTGTATATATATTTTAATAGTTGAATCATAATGTAGATATAATTTATATTCCGCTTTTTTTTTCCTCAAGCATTATACCACAAACATTTTCCCTAGTTGCCATACAGGCTTCATAATCACCACTCTAAATAGCAATGTAACACCCTAGTGAGTGGGGCTGCCACAGTCACCTAACTACATCCTGGAGGTACCGGGTCCCCATGCTACTTCAGAGATGATACTGCAGTGCCCAGGCCTCTTCGTCTCCAGACTGTGTGTATGCATCAGAGAGAAAACCAAAACAGGCAAGCTATCTCATATGCGAAATCCCAGTGCTCAGGAGGCTGAAGCAGTAGGACCTTAGGGATAGCCTGGGCTACAGTGTGAGACTCAGTCTCAAACAAACAAGCAGTGCCTCGACAGGTGAGGCTATTGCTGCCGGTGGCAGCGGAGGGGCCAATTGTGAAGTGCTGACTCACCGATAGCCAGGTGCGCAGAAACAACATGGTAAGTCAGCGTCAGGGCCCACAGGTGGAGCTCATGGATTGCTCGGACTCCCGGCACTGACAGCAGCGTGTCCCTTACAGGTTCAAACCCCACGCTTTGAGGGGAGCCTGCAACCAATGCCACCACGTTGTTGCCAGGGCCCACCCTGTCCAGCAGCAGCCCCACCAGACTCCACTCTGCCCAGTCGCATTCGCCTCCACCCTGTTGACCCCAGGCCTCTTTCTGGCAATAGCTCCCATGAACCAGCTTTCTCGCACTGTTTTAGGGAGGGGGTAGGATCTGAGGGAGCCCCAGGGTGGGAGTGTCAGTGTTGACTTCACCTTCCATGAGGATGCGGAGAACGTCTCGAAGTGTCGGGGCTGTGGATCCAAGGGCGCAGATAGAGAAGAGGAATGTACTGATGGGGTCAGCCACCTTGTACTGAGGCTGTAGAGGAAGCAACAATGCTTAGAGAAGGCTCTAGGGCCATCTTGGTAAACAGAACCTGAAGGGATCCTGAGACTCACAGAGGGGAAGGAGACAAGGCCCAGAGATGGGAAAGGCTCTGAGCCGCTAGAAGCTGAAGTGAATGAGGAAGGCAGAGAGGAAGCAGGAACGGGATGGGATTCAGAACAGGGGTGGGAGACCAAGGCAGCCTCCGTAGCAGTACCTTGAAGTAGATGAGGATGGAGGCAGCCAGGACCCCCAGGCTCTGAAAGAGGTCTCCCAGCACGTGCACAAAGGCAGCCCGAACACTGGTGTTTCCCAGGGGCAAGGGGTATCCTTGCCCCTCCTCCAGCGGTGCATACTCTGTACCCCTAGACTCATGGCTGTGGGAGGGCGAAGCCTGGTGCAGCACGAAGGCCATTCTGAAGGACAAGGAGAGAAGGTCAGCAGATGGCCTGTCCTTGGCCTCCGCTATAGAACTCACCTGCTTTCCATCCCAGAAGACAGCACTACCTAACAGAAAAGTCACGCTGTCAGGGGCAAAACATACTGGACTTGGGGCCAGAGATGGGGGTTCAGGTCCTGCCCTGCTATTTAAATAGTCAATTGCCCCCCCCCACCCTCACCCCACAGTATCTTTTACAGGATACTACTAAGAGGGAAAGTAGAGCTTATGGATTGATAGACTCAAATAAGATCATATTGATAAAAGTAGGGCCAGTATCCAATAACCCTTCACCAAACATCTCTTGGCTGATTGTCTCTCTCCCACTCCTTTTCAGACACACCCAATGAAGACAATAGAGCTCTCTCTCTCTCTCTCTCTCTCTCTCTCTCTCTCTCTCTCTGTGTGTGCGCGCACACACACACACACACACACACACACACACACACAACCATCCTGGAAGAAGACCCTCTCACCCTGGACCCCACCTGGTGCCCACCACACACTGGGACATACAGCATATTGGCACAGACGGCGATGCTGGCGGTAATCAGCATGGCTCCCCCCTCGATGTGGTAGTCACTGTGCAGCAGGCGGATGAAGGCCAGGTACAGCAGGATGCCAGTGACCATCCAGAGGGAGAACACAGAGGCCAAAGCCCCCAGAGTCTCTGCAGGGGAAGACAAGCTGTTGGGTCAGGGCCCTCAGGCACAGACATGGCTGAGGGGGGAGGGTAGCACCAAGTCATGCAGGGCATTACCTGAGCGGTGCCAGCCGAAGGTCATGATTCGAGTGGCTGGCCGAGTGGAGAGCCAAAGGGAGAAGAGGCTGCCCATCATGCTGCCTACATCTGCCAGCAAGTGAGCGGCATCGGTCATAATGGCCAAGCTATGTGCCAAATACCCACCTGCAAGGTGTGGGGGAGAATGGAGAGCCTGGGATTCTAGAAAATACGCAGCATGTGTGCAATGGGTATGGAAAAGGGGGGGGGGCACCAAAAAGAGACTCAAGTTTTCTCAGGTGCGAAGATTACAAGTATTTAGCCGGGCAGTGGTGGTGTACGCCTTTAACCCCTGCACTTGGGAGGCAGAGGCAGGTGGATCTCTGTGAGTTCAAGACCAGCCTGGTCTACAAGAGCTAGTTCCAGAATGGCCTCCAAAGCCACAGAGAAACCCTGTCCCGAAAAAACCAGAAAAAAAAAAAGATTGCAAATATTTATTTTATTTGTTACTATTTTTTCTTTTTTTTGTTTTGTTTTGTTTTGTTTTTCAAGACAGGGTTTCTTTGTGTAGCCCTAGCTGTCCTGGAACTCACAGAGATCTGCCTGCCTCTGCCTCCCAAGTGCTGGAATTAAAGGTATGCACCACCACACCAGCTGATCATGGGTATTTTTCTAGTCTTTCCATAATAATAAAAATTTGATTTTTATAACAAGAGAACAGGCCAGTTCACACAGAGCCTGGCCCACAAACCCCATGCAGGTTCATCCTGAATTCCCACTTGGCACCCTATCCTCCACAGTCCCTCCCAGCCCTTCTCTTTCTCTGCTTCTCCACCCAGGAGCACTGGGTCTTGGTACAGAGCTGGTGAGACTGGAGGGTGTCCCCAACTTACCAACCACCTCCCCAGCCATGAAGATGACACACACAGCGCAGGCGGCACACAGCTGCCTCCGCGCCCGCAGCCTCTCAGGAGAGAGGTCTGCCCCCGGCATGCGGTCCTTATGGCAGTGGTGGAAGGCCATCCCCTCAAGTTTGGGCTCCTCAGGGAGTGGCTCTGAGGGCTCTGCAAAGAGACTGAGGCAGGCAACATGGTCACCCTTGAGCCTGACCACAGAACTGGCCTGGTCACTCACAGGATGACAGACCCCGGGGCCTGCCTGAGCAGATGGGCGCATCTCTGCCCCTTTCCTTCACTAGACCCAATCATGCCTAAAGCTTTGAGGGTATATGGGGGCTCACATGAACACTCAAACCCATGCTTTCTCTCCTCCCATACACAGGGCCATAGAATCCCATATCTGAAAAGTAAAGTCTAATGTTTTAACACATGGATGTGAAAATGCAAGGCCCAGGGTGGGAAAGCACTAACAGGGGCCACACAGCGGGCAGGTGGTGGAGCTGGGACTAGATACTGACCAAATTCCTATACTATGAGAGGCACCCCAGGAATGCAAAACGAATGGCCACTCTTCCTGAATGGTGAGAGCTCTTGGTGAATGGAACAAATGTGGACTAGACACGATGACACACAGCAGGAGGCAGATGCTGCTGTTGGAGGAATTCTGGTGCTCTCAAGTGAGTTCTAGTGGGGAGATCACAGAAACCACATGAGGAGAGCCTTGAAAAATCGGGAGGATTTTGACAGAGACAGCCAAAGTGCCAGAGGAGCACGAAAGAAAGAAGGTATGATGGCATGGCACCCACAAACCCACTTCATGCATCTCTCTTAGCCTTGCTCAAATGCCTTCGTCTCCAAACCCTGTCTGTCCCTTCCTCTCAAGCCAGGAGATACAAGTGAGATCCTTTGAAAGGGGAGTGGAAACTGGCATGATGACTCATGCCTGCCACCCCTGCACATAGGAAGCTGAGGCAGGAGGATCAAGAGTTGAAAGTTAGCTTTGAACACATATGAGGGGAGCAAGGAGGGTTGTCACAGGAGGGGAGGTTTCTACCTGCTACAGCCGGGGTGGTAGTGACAGGAGCAATGGATTTATAGTCCAGCTCATGCTTCCTGGAGCCCTGTATGCACACACATCCCTTGACAACAGGGATGGGCCTTACCTAGTGATGCCACAGGTAGGACTCAAACTGCTCCCACTGTCCTTCCCGGACCCCAGCAAGGAAAAAACAAAATAAAGGCCCTAATACAGAAGACAGTCCTGAAACACAGGTGTAACAAGGATCCCTGTGGGAAAATGAGGGCTCTGAACTAGACAGACCGCAGCAGGAAATGGGAAGGGGCACTGACAGCTATCTGACTCGAAAGAACACTGCTGAAGGGCAGAGCAGAGGCTGGGGCTTCAGTGGCTACAAAGTGGAAAGGTAGGTTTATGTCTGAATGAAAAGCCTCTTCCCAGACTGAGGATGAGTATGCATGATTCTGGTGTTCTCAGAAGAGACAGGGAAAGACAGTGGCTTTAGAACCCATCCATCCTTGCTTGTTCCATGAGGCATGGCAAGCAGTATCCAACACAAGGAGCCCCAGTCTGGTGGGGGACAAATGCATGACATGACTTCTAACAGGGGCAGGCTGGGGGGTGGTGGTGTTCAGAACAAATCACTTTGAGACACAGGGGAGGGAGTGACTGGCTTTCATGGGGACATGGAGGGCATCATAGGAAGTCCCAAGCCATGGACAAGCTCCTGACAGGTGGAATTACAATGGTGAGGTATACAGCTTGGCATGTAAGCGTGGTGCCAGGTGAAGGCCTGAGAAAAAGGCTCAAAGGAAGTAGACAAGGAGACCCACTGGTTGACAGAGAAAGTCTCTTCATGTTGAAATGACCTTGATGGTAGAGGGTGGGGGAGAGGACATAGAAGAGTCTAGAATGGATCTGGCTGGATGCTCTGCCAGGCACAGTATCCTCTGATACTGTGAGGGTCAGGGAAACAGGCAGAGCCTTGGAAAATCCTGCAGGATTTGGTGACTAATGGTCATATGAGGATGAAAATGGTCCAGGAGATGAAGATGCAATCTGAAGAGGAAACAGATGCTGGGCAGTTTGGAGGCTGTAGCAAGACATCTTCCTCGGGCTTGTAAGGCATAACACAACCAACCAGCCATCAATGTAGCCACCCATCAACAGGCTGCCTCCTTTTGTTTGGCATCAAGTGGGCACTAAAGGGGGCTCTCTGCTGGGGTGTGGAGGTGTGGCTATGTTTTGTCCAGGGCTGGAGGCTGTTTCCTTCCCTGGCCTTCTGAACCCCCCCCCCAACAAACAACAAAACGGTATAGCATGAGGGGAAACAGAGGCCTGGGGTATTCCTTGGGCGAGTAAGAGAGGCTGATGCAGTCAAAAAGGTATGGGCAGAGATGTCAGGGCCACAGCTGGAGCCCCACAGCTGTCCACCACCGCAGTCCCCTGCAGGAAGAATTCTTCCTTCCGTTCTGCTCCCCCATTCTCCCACCAACTCAGGTTTAAGGACCCCCTCCCAAGGAAAGAACTGGAAACACAAGAAGACCACAAGAGAGACAAAAGGAGAGGATTGGGAGGGAAATAGGAAGATTGAGGGAAATGAAGAACAGAAAAAGCCAGAGACCCTGTCAAATTCCAGAGACAAACGGACGGTCGGCTCCCAGACAAAATGGCTAGCTGAATTGGCCAGGGAGGGCCTGT